TCGGTTTTCCAAGGTGTGGTCCTAACAATAACTAATAAAAGTATTTGTCAAATTTAACTTGGTAGTGTCGTGGCCTCATGAAAGGGCAAAAACCTTCCCCCTTTGGCATGAAGATTTCTCCTACCCCAAAATATTTCCATCTCCCTTCCACTTATTAAAAAAGTAACTTAGAGGCTAGTATCGTGGCCTTATGGATGGGGGCTCTCTTTGATCTCTTAACAACTTGAATAGTTTAGTTTACTTTATCAAAGTGACAATCCAGCGTTTAGGAAAGGGTTAATTAAACGTGCAACAACACCTCCCAGGGCTGGGGCCTTATTGTTACTCCTATAAAATTATCACTGCAGCGAGTCCCTCGAGAGCTCTTGAGAGTAATAGCATCGTTATCACTAGAATTAATACTAATGCTCACTATACTAAGTACGGCTGTCTTATAGTTATCTTAAACCACAACTGCATCGTATATAACTGCAAAAGCAAGATCAACGGGAATTATGTGTACGTTTTGGGTTACATGTACTTGAGTATTCTTGGTTCCTGATTATAAAATGCTACCGTCGTTTTGAGTTAGAATGTAGTGTTTGGGAGCTTGTTAAGTTGAAGAGAAATGCTGAAGTGTGCAGCTTAGCGTTAACCAAAACTCTCCCTAAACACTATTTCTCTGTTATCTTCCTTACTTTCCTCTTGTAAGCGTGACGAAGGCATCATAGCCGCGTTTCCTCAGCCTATCCTATTGGTCACCAAAGACAAAGTCATAGAAATTTCACGAATATGATTTAGGAATCTCTGGTTTTACGGCAAGCACATCGGGTTCATTTTTAGGGAATAAGGTTGCCACTAAACTATATTCGAACTACCTAGTTAACGGATTCTTTTGACGTTGTCTGTGTCCATCTGTAAACTCTCCACCCTACCCAGCTCCTCCAGCGCGTATATCTCTGGGAACCAAAAGCCCTCTTGCTTGTAGTTTGCCAGCATATTTGACAGTTTGAAACCTTCGAAGCACTCCATTGGCGTTGTAGTAGCTTGTACGAGACAAAGCCTCTGCTTCCAACTTGCGCCTGATCCGAGGGCGGTACTCTCCTAGAATCTCTCGCATGTTTAATGAGAAGTCTTCCCTCCGCGTACACGAGCGACGCATATACATCTATTGTGCAAAATAAGGAGTCGACTGGTAGCTGGTAGCGCACTCACTATGTGTGATCTGCAGAGAGACGTACACCACATGAGAAAATATCATTAACACTCTAAATTCTCTGATCAACGCAGGAAGGAGCAGGTCAACACGCGTACATGTACAGGCTGTACTACAGCGGTATGTTGTCTTTGGAGGATGGGTACACCATCGGAACGTTCCAAAGGCATTTTTCACGAAAATCCCCCTTTGCGAAGCACACTAGCAGCCAGTATACAAACCCGCGTTCCTGGGAATCCTGGGAGCTTGGAGCTGCCGGCGCTGGCGGCGTAGGCGTGCTGCCGCCCCTGTGAAGACATAGCGAGCTTGGAGCTGCCGGCAGGCTATGGTGGCATTATAGTGCTGGTATCTTCATGTGACTTAGTATTCAAACGTTATTGCTGAACTAATCCTGCGTAGATTTGTGCACGTAGTAGTTATTTTTCACACTGCAGTGCATGGCCCCCATGGCTAGGACCACCTTCTGGTTGACGTTTGTCCTAACCGTCGCGTCGACGTTTTTTTGCTACGGTTTGCCATTACCCGCTCTCCGTCTCCGCCGACATAGTTGTGAAGCTGCAGAGCAAACTGAAGGTGGACACAATCTCGCATTTTGGCGTGATAACGGCACGGACAGTGCTTCAGCTCTAGATTCACAGTCCATCCAGTAGAAGGTTGCCCATCCTGGCGTAATTGACCGAGAACTGAGCTGCGACTTCCAAGGCTTCTTTCGATCGACCTCTTGTCGGAATGTAGAAGCGAGACGCTGCTTTGCAAGTACCCGGACGGTATTGCTGTCGCATTCGTCTACGAAGAAGCTGATGCTGTTCCGGTTAAAGGAGTGCTCGTGCAGGAGGTTACCTCGGCATAGAGCTGTTGTGCGAGTCAGAAGCCACTGTCGTCACTCTGCGAACGCTACGGGCGACATCGACTGGTGGCTACAGCAGTAGCGCGCCTGGTCAAGCCGTACAGCGAGTTTCAGCTTCCGCTTCTGTGAGTAGTCACGTTTGAAGTCTCTATTAAATGTCTCGCACGGGTTGTTTGTAGACGTGAACCCAACCGGTGTGCTGAATATCTGCCAGTTGCCGAAGCTGCCCTGAAGCCATTGCTTCCTCATGTAAGTCGCAAGTTGTCGAGCTCCGGGGAGGACTTCCAACCAGCGAAAAGCCCCTCTTTTTGAGCTAAAAACTCTGCCTTCAATGTGGAAAAGTGAAGGTTAATAACTCTCTCTATACACCTCAGCCACTTTATCACCATGGAGTTGATGAGTCCGTTCCTTAAGCAAGACGGACCGTAGGTGTACTCCGCCCCTCCACCAAACACGTTCTTGACACCGTTGAACTGCGCTCTATCGGCATCGCCCATTACAAACCGCACATTTAGTCGCTTCCCTACGACTCGGGCTTACACAGTGGTCAGTGCGGCAAGCACGTCCGTGTAATGCTGTTCTTCCAACTAAAAAGCGCGAGCAAATGGAACTTCCTTGACCCGTCGGACATTCCGCATACAATCATCGGGTAGCTAGCCTGAGCTAGCTTGAAGGTCGCGTCGATGTGAAATATGAAGGCAGTAGAATCACGGTCGGCCGAGCGTAGCAGCGCTTTAGTTGAAACGCCAACTAGGAACGAATCCTCGTCGGTGCTATCACCTGTAATCAGGGGTTCCGAAAATGCTACTGTTATTTGGTTCGTGAATGCAGCAATACAAATAACTTTGCATGTCTTCCTTCCAGAGTTGACTGCAATAATTGGATTTATTGCAAGAAATACATAGACGTTTGTGTGTAGTATGAATATTGTGAGCTTATTGCGTGCCACGGACGACCTTGCGCACCGTTGCTGCGCTCCAGTACGAGCGGTTCACCTTCAGGAAGAGGATACTTTCTACATTTAATGGAGTCATGGCTTGACAGTGCATACCAACTACTGCCTTCGCTTGACTAAAGAATCTCTCGACGACGTTCGAAGTCGGAGTGATCACAGCTATCTGATCGTTAAAGCGTGAAGTAGCTTGACGAAGCCGTCTCGCACGCTCGAGCGTAACAGTGGCGAAACCTTCATCGAGCGACGTTGTCTCCGAAGAACTCGACAGTGGGGCTGCTCCCGCGGCCAGCGGCTCCAGCATAGCCTTGTCGTCGTCACTCAGCGCGCCTTCACGACCCAGCAGCACACTCACACAAGCTCGTGCGAAAACAGGGCTCTTGACGATCGCTGCATTAGCAGCGAGGTAGTGGGCGACTTCTGGCGTCTGTGCAATGAGCGCGTCAAACAGGTCGCGCACGTCGAGTAGTGTTACCGTGTCTGCACTTTGCAGCCTCTTCGAGGTTGACTCGAACATCTTGAGGTTGGCGAGGATCGACTTCAGCTGCTTCTCCTCTCGCCGGGTTGGCAGAAACCCAGTTAGCTCGTCCTCGTCGTCGTCACTAAGAAACTCCTTCAGCTCGAAGTATCTGTTAACTATAGCAAAAGTAGATGACCAGCGAGTGTCCTGTCTAGGAACAGGTCGAAGGAGTGTTTTTCGACTAGCACAAAATAAGCACATTAAATTTCAGAACACACATAATCATAGATTAAACTCACCGAAATTTTGCAGACACCAGCAGCAAATTTTTCACCTTGTACATCAACTTCTGTATCTTATCGAGTAGCTTGTCGTCGCCAGCGAGAAGTAAGTTCACCGCTAGGTTCAGACGATGGCTGGCACAGCCCACCATCGGAACCTGCAGCTGATCAGCGACAGCACCGTTCACGGAGCAATTATCTCCGACAATGTAAGCGATACTGGCTTTGCTCCGGCCATAGTAGGAAAGAATGACGTCCAGGATCTTGACGTTGCTGCTGGCAGTGTAGTCGCGGATATCATCATCAATAATTGGCGCTATAGCGATCACAATGGTCTGCATCTTGCCGTCGTGGCGAAAGGACGCAAAGACTGCGACACAATGCTCCGACCGGAAAGTCCACCCGTCAAAAATGATACCAAACGACTTAGGCATGATACCAGCGATTACAGTTTCGACTTCACGGACTAACAGTCGCATGTACTTCACCAGGCTGTCCGTCGAAAGGCTCCCAATCTTAACGTAGTTAGAAGCAGCACTAGTCTCACAGAATGAGAAGGGCAAGTTGCACGAGAGCACCATGTCGATCCAAGACCTTGTGGGTCTTGTCGTCGATAAACCCATCCAACGTGCCAGTACTTGTGCTGGCGCTGGTCATCTCGGCGACAGAGTTCGTGTGCCACATGAAGACGTGACCAAGTAGATTGGTGTAGCCAGTGTTGGGCTCCATTCGGCGCTGAACACCGCAGCGGCATACGTATACTGCAGTAGGCTCTCCATCATCGTCGAGTACAGCCTTGAAGTAGAAAGATGACACTTGCTTTGATGTGAACGGGTCTGTGTGGACCTTCTTTTTCGGCGGCTTGGCCTTCTTCGCCTTCTTCGGCGCTCGTGAGAGCGCTGAAGCGGGCTTTCGACGTGGCTTGGCACGCTACGCGAGGTCTTGGCAGGCATCGCGTTGAGTAGAGTAGACAATTGGCTGTATGAGAGCTACTCAAAGTGAAAATACACGGATTTAGGAGAGTTCATGGCCAATAAATCGATGGACGTGCTCCATCCAAGCAATAGCGACCTGTGGGCCAGTGATTGCGGTTCGGCTCGTCAAACTGAACCGCCCAGAGACTGCAAGTAGAGTTATTGGAGATGAAGAGCACCAAAACAAATATTTCAGCATGTCAAAGCAAAGCCGAAAATAAATAATTTTTAACCAAAATACAAAAGTATTTAATTAAAATTGTATTTTCGGAATCCCTGCTCCAGGCACGTGAGCTTCTTGTCACGCCAGGTGGCGTGCGGTTCTACAGCCTTACACTGGTCGCACGAGCATTTCATGAGGGTGCAGCGCATGGAATAGGGAGCTGCTGACATACAGAATGTGCACGGTGCAAGCTGGCTCTTCACTGCCTTGTAAGCTTTCATTGTCTATAGCAGCATATTGCTGTCGTCCACGGACAAGTCGCAGGCAAGAAGGGTCCAGTCGAGTGTGCGAGGCATTACTAGGAATGATTGTTGGAGCAAGGGGTGATGGGCTTCTTCTTTGGAGGGCAAATTGCGGAGTAGATGACTGGTCGGTAGAGATTTCGCTTTTGTGTGTTCATCATGGCAATATGTGTGCTATATACAGATATTTTGTGTTTTCTCATAATATAAAGTGCTCCTTCCATTTTTGTTGTGAAAATCTACAGTTGTTGTGATTATCAAATTTTTTTACGGTGCTGGTGATGCTTTGTCACACCACATTCCCTGAAACTTTGATTAGCCTGATATGTACAGTAGGTGCGCTAGTGTGTTTGCACCTGCGAGGCTTTTCAACGAGTCAAATCGTCTCTGATGCCCACTGACGCACTTGGCCTCTTCCTGCTGCCACGCATCTTCGTGCTTAGCGTCGATGTACTTCCACTTCGATCTGTCGCTCGACTTGACTGGACGATGCATGGATGTGCTAGTCTTTGACGACCGCTTCAGCTACATAGCTCACATTTATACTCATTTCAGATTTGATCACCGCGGAGGCGTCCGCGGTACACTTCGTTGACGTTGGTCAGAGTCGATCGTCTCCGACCGCGCCCACGCTTCGCACCAGCGTTTTCTACCGAGCCTCTTCAAACTGTTCGGCACGAATCTGCTGATGTCGACAGCGGCGCATCCAGAGACGGATGGACAGACTGAACAAGTCAACCGGATCCTTGAAGACGTGCTGTGCATCTAGACTACTTCGTTAACGAGCTGGAACGCGTTCCTGTCCCTTGCTGAAATTGCGTTCATTCAACGGGCCCGACACAGTTCTTTGTGTATAACGCTCATCACCTACATGCTCACAAGCACAGCGCTTCTCACTGAAGCTCACCTCACGGACTCTGGTGCGTCGTGGGATACCCTGCTGTTGCTGTGCGTCGTATGTGATGCTGCTGAACGCTGAAAGTTTGGATAGTGGCAAGCGACTGCAGCACTACAGAATTGTTTATGCCGCGAGAAACACTTTTGATACATGAATGCTAACTCAGGTTACAAATTATCGTGGAAAAAATCCATTGCGGGCTGTTCATACGAGGTATTTCCAGTATTAATATGAACCCATTTCCGATTAAACTCTCTGGCATCAGCGCTGAGCAGAGGTCGCAAACGCAAAATTCTGGTAAGCTATACCCGTCCTTCTGAGAAAGTTTTGGATAACCGTGATCAGTCGTTAGCTGACCGGATGTTTAGAATGAAACGTGTTAAGAAAATCCCAGTATATCTGCAATACTCACCATCCAGTTCTCGTAAAAGTAGAGTGAGGGGTGACACGGAAAAAAAAAGCTGGGGAAAGGAACAATAACGACGAAAAACGTAGAGCTAGAAAGACAATCGGAAAGAAAGGTCAGAACTAGTTTTTAGGTTGCGTTGCTCCCACCAACACCACTATTTCTCGTCATCTAGTGGTTGCCAAACGTGGCATCGCAAATAGAATTGAGCGAGGCTGCAGCCAAGTTGACATCCACTTCTTCCTCTCCGTGTAGGAAAGCACGCGCTTCAGCAGGCGAGACGTCGACACTGGGATCTTCCGCTGAGCTCAAGAAGCTGATGTCCACAGTCTTGACAGTCTTCCACGCTTCGGAATCTTCCGACAAGACCGTCTTTAACTTTGTCAGAAACTCATTAAACTGAGCGGAATATTGAATCTCCGGACTGCGTTTACGGAAGTGACTCAGACCAGGGTAGCGGCCACCAATGTACTTGCCCCACTCATACGCTGTCGAGTCATTAAAAGCGGCTCCTTCGTGCCATGTCATCCACCACTAATCCAGTTACCCCCATGCAGGCACTAGAACCATCAGGATACCGTAACTGGCAGCGCGCTCCACAGCCCAGTCGATGAGTTCGAAGTATGCTTCATTCGGCTGCATCGTGTAGGAGTTGATGAACGGCAGATCTCCGTAAAAATTGGGGCGCGTGGTTCCGTTATTCTCTAAGATTAATGCTGACTTTGAGTCTTTGGTTGAGTCTTCTCAGTCGAAATTGAGTCGTAGACAACAACTCACGACTGCGGATACTGGGATGGAGACGCAGATGGAGAAGTTCTTCAGTCAAAGTGGCTCTGAGGTCTTCCCCCCTTGCAGTGTGTCCCAAAGATCCTTGGTGGTGATACCAACTGTCTTTGGGCCCGTAACCTGATGGAAGCAAGCATATCGTATTCTGCTAACCCCGTAGTAGACCCAACTACTTTGGTAGGCACCATTGAGGACACAACGCACCTTTGGGTGAACATGCGTTCCGGTGTGAAGGACGGTGAGGCTGTCCAAGGGTACGAAGCTGTTGTGCTGTTCCACCCTACTTCTGGTAGAATCGCTAGACCAGTGAGTACTCCGGAAGCGATCGGCCACCTCATGTTACCGAAGGAAGAAGACCGAGTGTCAATTGACGCAGTGCAGTCCGGTCACGCCACGCCCGAGTCTCTTGGATCCTTCACCCCATACGAGGCCGGAGACTCAACTAAGAACTACAAACTCATTGCGAAGATGCTCGACGGCTTCACAGGCCCGGTGCTTGGTCTGGAGAACCACTACGAAGGAGGCCACTACAACTTCGACCCCAGCTTTCCGGTCTGGAATGCTTCAGAAGTACGGACGGGTCTCTATAACGGCGTCTACAGTGGAGCTGCCGGGTTCACGTACGGTGCCAACAGCGTGTGGCAAATGTACGAGCCCGCCGCTGATCTTCTTCGTGCCAGTGACTATTACGAACCTTCGGTGAACCAAAATGTGTCGGGCTCGTGGCGTCGCGATATCTTCTTTGAAGGCGCCACGCAGATCCAGCACGTCACCAAGCCTCTGCAAAATCTTACCATAGAACAACTCGAGCTTCTGGAGCCTGGTCGTCAGCTTTTGGCCAGCCCCAACGGACATACAGACGTGGCTGTGAATGCATACGATGGTACCCGATTCATTTCCATGTAGCGTTGAAAACTAACGATCGGTACTACGTGTACACTGGTCACGGAGGTTCCTTCAGCCTGAACCTGGGCAATGGATTGGCTCGCTCGGGCACAGCCCGTTGGTTCTCTCCACGCGACGGAGAATACTACGCCGACTCAGTGGTGGATGTGAACGCCAACAACGCGTTTATTGACTTCATCCCTCCTTCGGGAGGTGGTGTTGACAATGCCTGGCTGCTCGTCCTGGAGTCCTCGGATTTAGAGGCCAGATACATGTAATCAAGAGCATAGTGTTATGACTTCTGCTTAAAGCCGAGGCATCTCAGCCCTGCCAAGCAGCGTGAGAGTCCACATTGCAATTGGTGGAAGCGTTCACGACAGCAGCGCCGTCTCAAGGTGAAGCCACTTGACGTTGAACTCGTTCGTTGTCACTTTGGGGCAGCTTCTGTGAATGCGTTGTTCACGATTATTATTGATTACGGGAATTCTGCCGTTCCAGTAATCCAACAGCCCACCAAATCTCACAGGTTATCCCGTCTCAAATTGTCGAACTGGGATTGGTCACGCGACATTAAGTAGTAATCAGCAGCATACAAAGTCCAAGTCAAAATTACCGCCGATTAGAACGACGCCGTCAGTACGAAATTTGACCAGTGCCTCGACGATGTCGGAGCCCGCTGCAGTTGATCCCGCGCCTTCCAGCGCCCCTCCTTCTACAGAACCAAAGCCCACTGTGTCGTCTACCTCTCCTGAGAGTCCCGCATCGATAGAGTCTCTATTGGCGGAATTACAGCTGGAACAAGTGGTCAAAACTTTGTGGCGCGCCACAAGCCACGAACCCGCTCGCTTCCGTCTCTCACCGTCACACTGCGTGGTTGAAGCCACCGGTAACAAGCAGCAGACGCTCAAGCTCTCGTGGGGCGATGTACTGGGCGCCCATGTGCTCACAGCGGACGGAGAGCTCGTCCAGACGCCTGTGGACGTGCAGAACGACAGGAAGTTCCTGTTGGGCGTCTTCGCCTGCATATGCAAGAGCCACAAGCCCAACACGTTGAAAAAGCGACGTCTGGAAGAGTTTTTCTTCAGATTTACAGGAGACCAGATGCAACAAGTGCTTAAACTGCAGAAAATCATCAACTTTGCGGCGGATCCGAGGAACCAGGAGAATGTCGAGAAACTGGAAAGTTTGGACCAGTTGGAAGTCGTCGAGCAGCCGCAGCGCAAATTCCTGGTGCTGGTGAACCCTGTGAGTGGACCGGGACGAGCGCAGCAGATCTACGAGAGCAAAGTGGCGCCTGTGCTTCGCTTCGCTAATGTAGAGACGGAGGTGAAGATCATGGACCACGCCAACCATGCGATGGAGATCGTCATGGACGTACCGTTGGGTGTCTACGACTGTGTGGTGGCAGTTGGTGGAGACGGGAGTCTGTACGAAAGTAAGTGCGGTTAGAGTGCAGTTGGGGTGTTGGTTAGAGTGTGAAGTTAGGGTGTTTTCTGATGATGCTGTAACTGTGTAGTTGTGCAGGGCTTGATGAAGCGCGCAGACTGGAACGATGCAATTCGACAGCCGATCGGCATCATCCCGGGCGGCTCCGGTAACGGTCTGGCGCACTCTATCGCTCACCAGAGTGAGGAGAAGGGCAAGCCAGTGAACGCTGCGTATATCCTGGCAAAAGGTTTGCCTCACGACTTGGACATCACGTCAGTACGCAACGGAAAGGAGACGACGTACTCGTTCCTGTCCCTTGAATGGGCCTCGATCGCCGACGTGGACATTGGCTCCGAGAAGCTACGTATGCTGGGCGGACTTCGCTTCACAGTCGCGTTCATCAATCAATTGGTGTTCCAAAGACCGGAGTATCCCGGTAAAATCTGGTATCTGGACGAAGAAGAGAGCCAGGGTCCGCCACGCTACTTTGATACGCACGATCCCAAGTCGAACGAACGCCCAGCTATGGATCTATTCGATGGGGATCAAGGTCCTCCGAAGGAGACTGAGCCGGAGGACTCGAAGGATGGCGAAGCTAAAGAGAAGAGAGAAAAGGGTAAATGGAAGGAACTGGACGGACATTTCCGTATCGTGTGGGTCATGAACGTTTCGCATGCAGCTTCGGACGCTCTAATTGCTCCTGGTGCAGGGTTTGATGATGGCTACAACTACATCACGTTCATGGATGGCGCTCACTCTCGTAAGGATCTACTGGCTATGATGCTCGCTATCGAGACGGGTGATCACATGGACAAGAAGGGGGTGCAGCAGGTGCGCACGCGAGCCTTCAAGCTTGTTCCAGAGCGATCCACCGACCTCATGTGCGTGGACGGAGAGGTGGTGGAAGGCCCGTACCTCGAGGCACAGGTCCACCGCGGCATGGCGCGTATTATGGCTGTCCCTCGTTGGCAGAGCAAGGAGTAAGTCACACTTGAGTTAAGTGCACGGCTAAGCATGCAGTACAGAACCAAACTGTCACGGATTAGGTGGATTAATCTCTTCGTAGTGATGCGTTTTCCCAGCAGTTTTTACAATTCAAATACGATCGTAACGCCCTTATATTGTTAGTGAGTCCGCCATATTTGGTAGTTAGATTGATCTGTTGAGTACTAAGGTGCTCTAAAAGAAGCATGGGTGGTGTGCTGAGCAACCAGGTGCCTGTGCCCGATGAGCGCATGCAGCAGATGATCACGAAGCTCAAGCGTTCGTGAATAGATTACTGAGAGGAGACGGTATTCTCACGACCACTAACGTATGCTTGGTTAACGATACTGTAGTCACAGCCAAGGATCTCACTGTGCTCTACGGCAAATTTGCTCGCTACGATAAAGAGGTTAACATTAGGCTTTCTTCATATGCATTTTTGTTGTTGTTGTTTTCTCATTTAAGATATGGACTTGTTTTTTTTTCTGCAGTACTTGGAAAGCGCAGTAGAGAGTGTAACAGGGGGTGTATGGAGAACTGACTGTTCTTTTTTGATTCAGCAAGAGCGGTACAATCGACCGAACGGAATTCTACGCCTCCATCGACGAGAAGCATTCTCCGTTTGGTGATGCCATCTTCGCCCTCATCGGTGCGGTATTTAATAACAAAATCCACTTCATGGCAGAATTTTTTTTAATCATACTACTTCTTGTTGCAATAGACGAAGACAATAGTGGAGTCCTGGACTTTAGCGAGTACGTCGAAGCCCTGGGAAAGTTCTGCCTGTTGAATAAAGAGGACATGCTTAAATGTAAGCTCCATCGTCTTTACAAAAGCCACTACAGCCGCTTACATTATTGACGATCTCCTTGCGGTAGTTTGCTTCAACGTATTCGATGATGACAAGAACGGCACAATTGAGGGCCAAGAGCTGACAAACTTGTTAGAAATTTTGCACGAAGACGAGCAAACGAGCAACATGAAGCATGCACTTAAGACCTTCGACTTTAATGGAGACGGGAAGATCGATTTCGGCGAGTTCAAGCAGCTCCATTCACAGTTCCCAAGTCTGTTGTATCCTGCATTCCGTATCCAACAGAACATGAAGATCTTCACACTTGGAGAGAAGTGGTGGGAGCGAAAGATCGAGGAACTGGCCTCCGAGCACTACGAAAAGCTCGCGCAACAAGCAGCAGCAGGAAACGTCGAAGATATGAGTGACGAGGCCCAGAGAGCGAGGAAGGAAGAGATGGAGCGTACTGCCAAGCAGAAGCGACAAGAACAGGCGGCTCGTATGCGAATGGGGTGTTTGTACTATACTTGCTGCCCGTGTCGACGAAAACTCTACATTATCGAGGACGACGAGTCCAGCGACAGTGACAGCGACTCGGACGAAGAGCGAGCTCGACGCAAGCAGAAGGCAGCAGCCACGAACGTCAAAAAGGGTGGCAAGAAGCAGAATATCGTCCCAGTTGGGCCGCGTAAGCCTCTGAGTCAGGAAGAGCGTCTTGAACGAGCACGGAAAAGAAGACTGCGGGATATGCAGGATCGACCCACGCGCAAGGATTGATACCGAAGACTTGAGCAACATGTCGAACATTTCATCGGCTGCAAGAACCAGAAACTATCATTATTGTCGCAGTGAGCAATACTGCCCACATTATCTTTTCAGACCAAATCCGTGGTGCCGGGTGACACACCGTATCATGCACGCTTTGCATTAATCTCATGTTGAAGTGATTAAACGCAGCGACTAACGGGCCAGAGACCGAGGGATCCACCATAGAGCTTACCGTCTGCCGTGAGTTCAGACTGCCAATGCATCTAGCCATGAAATGCATTAAAAGAGAGACAGCCCAAAGTTTCCGAGCATTGCCGTCTGCCTGCTCGGAGATGGACATTCTTGGCGCGTTCAAGTCCATCGTTAGCAAAAATACTCGCACACACACCAAAGAAACGTTAATTAACTGTACGTCACGATAATACGGCAGTCTTCTATAAACTTTATTAAAGTTAAGGTAAACTTCAACGGCACCCTCTGCCACCTGCGAAAACCTTTAAAATGATTAAAATGTTCCATTTCTGAATTTGTCAAGTATCGCTTAAGTGTCTTCGGGTCGGCGTTTTTTTCGCCAGGGTGAGATGCTGGTGCTGTTGCTCTCGTCGCTGCTGGCCCACGTGGTAATAGCAGCCGATGACGACGCCACAATCCCCTTCAACTCGTGGGGGAACACCGCGGACACGCTGCAGTATGCGCTCGCCTTCATCGTCGTGCTCGTGGCCGCGCACCCGCTCGGTCTCTTCTTCCCCAAACTCTTCCAACTGCCGCTAATCACGGGATATTTAGTGATCGGGATCATTGCAGGACCATTTGTGGCTAATCTACTGCCCAAAGAGCTGGTGGACATGCTGTCGACGTACGTGAGTGCATTGGCATTGTCGTTTATCTCGTTCCAAGCCGGACAGGAGATTTATCTACCGGAATTGAGACCGCAACTCAAGCAGATCTTCATTCTCCTCAGTGTACTTTACATTGTGGCCATGATCGTCCTCACAAGTGTACATTTACTGGCCAATAACGCCTTCTTCTATGACGACTTTATCACGAATTGCCAACTGGGTATCGCTCTCATGTTCGGCTCCATCTCCGTACTGGGCTCGCCCGCGACGGTGATGGCCATCAAGATCGAGCTCAACAGCGTCGGCCCATTCACAAATCTCATGCTTGGGGCCACGATGACAGCGGAATTCGTGGTTTTAGTGTCCTTCTCTATCTCACGGATCATTTGCTCTATTTACTGCGCAGACTTGAGTGTATCCGTGGGGAATCTGGTCTTCACATTGGCCATTGTGGCGTCTAATCTATTGCTTGGAGCCCTGCTGGGCCTCGTTATCATCCTCATCTTCCAGATCCCTGGAAGCGCAGCAGAAGAGCACATGGATCTACACGACCCGACGTCCATCACTGCGTCCAACTACAGTCAGTACAGAGACCTGGAAGCAGCTACGGACCCTGATAGAATGCCGCACCCACACAACGCCTACGTGGAAGCCATCGACCGAAGACGTACCAAACGACCAGAGTTCTGGACAACACGCGTGTCTCTGTATGTCAAGGGCTTCCTATGGCTCACAATGGGCTACGTGTTCTACATTTCTACTACGACGATCAGTGAGGCCACAGTGGCTTCGTACGGCTTGTCATGGGAAGTGAAATTCGAGCCTTTACTGGTTCTCATGGTGGCGTCCTGTCTCGCTGGCCACTACTCGTTGATTCGTCACGATATGCACGTGATCCTAGATACTGTGGCTCCGTACATGTTCCTGCCGTTCTTCGTCATGACAGGAGCGGCATTGAAGCTGGACAAAGTGGTGGACGCCATCCCGCTCATGAGTTTGTACGTGTGTTTGCGCTTCGTATCTGTCTTCATCGCGTGTTATTTCGGTGGTCGCTTCCTGCTCAAACTTCCACCAAGACAGTACAACAACCTCTGGCTTACAATGACACCCCAGGCCGGTGTTGCATTGGGTTTGGCTAATGAAGTCAAAGCGTTGAGTACTGAGCCGTGGGCTGCAGAGTTTGCAGCGACAATCGTAGCAGCGGTGGTGGTGAACCAGATCATTGGGCCAGTGTTGTGTGCCATTGGCCTCAGTCGAGCAGGCGAGAGCAAGTACGACCGAGTCGCTGAGGCCCAGCCTGCGGATGGCGAGACGTCCGAGAGCGACGGCAGCGCTCACGGTGGTCGATCTCTGCTTCATACTCGCAGTCGCCTGTCAAGTAGTAATATTACTCAAGGGAATGGCGATCCACGTGCTTTACTACCATTCTACAAGGTCAAAAGTGCTGTGGTTATCGGTGAAGACGAGGTGGCGTTCGAGATTGCGCTGGAATTGTCACTCTACGGAGCTCAAGTGAATGTGCCTCTACTGGACAAAGAGCAAGCGGAAAAGTGGCATTCTATCAACGAAACAATTCTCAAGCGGTCGGCGAAAGGAGAGCTGATTCAATACAAGAACAAGATCAAAGATCGAGAAAAGAACGACCAAATGTCGGCAGCAGACGTTCTCATCTTCACTGGGGACGGTATGCGGACTTTAGAGCACGTCCGGACAATGAAAGAACTGCTGGGAGAAGACCACCCGAGAATGATTGCAGTCATCCCTGACTGTACCTTCAGTAAAGAGCTCAAAGAGCTAGGAGTGTTGATCATCCAGCCTGCTATTGCACTGGCCAACATTGCGACTCGAATGGCACTGCTGGACCAGAAGCTGGCCGAGTCGCTGTCCCAGGAGATCAGCACAACGAGCGACTTCGCTACAGCCGCGTACTTTATGAACCGCGAGTCGGTACACTCGCTGTCCGAGATGCGACTCGATGGTCGTCGCTTGGCTCTCGGCCGGAGCGTCGTCAACCACCACTCGGTCAACTACGACAGACTGGCTGAGGCTCTGGCGGCTGAGAACCTTCCTATGCCTCCTCCTCCATCGCGTGTGTCAATGTTTGGTACTTCTGCTGCCGGGTTCGACCCGTTTGCTAGACGGGGTGATGGTATGTCGGCGTACGAGCATTTCGTGGTGCAAGACGAACCAGACGTCAATGATGACAACGGCCACGTCTTCAACGCGCAGTTTGTGCAGCGTTCGCCCCGTTTAGGCGTCTTCCCGTCACCACAAGGGAGCAATCCGTACTCATTCGTACGGTCTAGATCGTCCCGCAGTCCCGGGGGAGGTCGTCCTCGCATCAACTCGAGCACAGGAAGCGTCAACCGAGGACATCATCGCACGTATTCAGATGTCGTATGATGCGGAAGCGTTTTCTGTTACACTTTCCAACAGTAGAACACACATGAAGGGAATAAGTTAACAGATTATTAAGCAGAGACTACTTTAATAAGAATTCCAGATGGAACAAAGTCACTCAGCGACCAAAACAAAAGCAAAATACTTTTTTTTTTTACTACTACTGATACAAGTACTTATTGAGTACAGACATGTATCAGTAGTATGTTGTTTTGTGGCAAGCCAACACCGTTTCTTTTGCTGCGACAGTAAAAAATATGGCCTAAAAATCGTTGAGCCAAATTTTTTGCGCAATGTCTTTTTTCAGTAGATTTTCTCCTTAACTTACCTTCAGCATGGGCATAATCAATACTTCGAAATAAGAATATTCTGGTCAAGTTCTGATAAATTCATGGACGAAGCGCCGACTATTGCAGATTTGATTTTACATGAAGCGAGAGACTGTGATGATATTAAAAGTCATTAAGCGATATTTTTCTTGATTATATGGCACAAAGCGGCGGTGTGCTTGAGTGCATGTTGTTGTTCTTCGCTTACCACTCGTTTCGCTCTGTTTACAGTATTAATACTCGATGGAATCATCCGGCCACAGCAACAACTAGGTTCCTTTTATTTAGGTCGCTTTGAGACAGTGGCTTGGAATTTAACCAGCACGATGATGCTTTTCCGTTCTTGGGGAAGAAGTTCCGTGGGAGTGCGAAACATTCGTCGTGAAACGAAAAAAAATCATCCGATCTGATTATAGCTACTGCGGCGCAAGCTCAGAAACATGTTGTCTCGCACCCGCTTGTTGCAATACACAGCTTCAGAAATTCCAAACAGCACGCCATCAATGGCGCAGATCCCTCCGCAGACTGCGTATTACTTCGAGGAAGTACATTTTATATTGGTTTGCATTGATGCTACAGTGTGTTGGTCGAATGCGTTCTTTGTGTGCCAAAAGTACGCAAAGAATGGATCTGCACGCAAAGGCACGCGATGGTTGCAGTCAACTCAAACGCCACTTTGCTGACAGGAGTGTGCAGGAGCTTCGTGCAGGTTAATAATGTCGGCAGAACGTCCGTGCATGTTTGCTTTTCTGCACAGCGACCAAACTGATTTCTATTTTGACTCGCTACGCTGATCACTCAATGCCACGACCGCAGGTGAGTTGAAGTGAGCTCTACAGCGAATGGCTCCAGCGTGTACCAATCAATCTACCCGACCAACGTTCAGCACAGAGCGAATGCCGTCTACGCCAACGACGTAAGTCGCCATTGAGTCGCTCCACCGCGATCATCATCATAACCAGATACAGCAATGCTTACGAGCAAAACTTACCAGCATCAAAAACATCTATTGACGTTGCTGCGGTATCGAGCTCGACCACAATCACTTACACCCCCTTGTCGTCAACTTGCCATTATAACTTGGATTGAGTATAGATGGGACATTACCAACATTCCGACCTTCCAGCGATGGTCACACAGTGCATTCGCTCTTCCTTCCTAGTACACATAGGCGCAGAACCTGCTCACTCCACAACGTCCATCACACTAGCCAGAGCCTCCCGAACGCCATACACTCCATGCCCCGACCATTGGACTCCTCAGACTCGCCCTCCGATAGTGGCAGCTTCTTGTGCGAGCGCATCCAGCAGTTTCGCCAGCGTATGCGCAGTCGCTGCCTCGAGGCGCACAGAGCATCAGCCGCAGGCTCAGACGACGTCTCGGGCCTCCCGTGTCTTCTCCAGTCGTGGCGTAAGCGTATTGAGGCCATGGACGACGCAGAGCCGCAGCACAGACACAGAGGACACAGGAGACCGCGCTGTCCGTCGACAGAGAGTGACGAGTCGCCGTCTCCGCCCTCTGGATGCCCATTCCGCGGGCCTAGGATGCTACACCCGCGACTGGAGCGACAGCAGGCCGTGTGCTCGCTTTCTGGCATCTGGAGCGGCTTCACGTCGTCAAGTCCGCCGCCGTCGCCCGAGATTTACGCAAAGCCGAGACGTCGCCCACACCCGTACTCGAGATGCTACGCAAGGGAAGAGGACGACCCGAGGAAGTCGTCCGAATAGGAAGTTTTCCTGCAGCAGTGGTAAAATAAATAACGACAGATATTTATTTCCCTACGGACGTGTACACGTATCAGCTTTTTTTTTTTTAGCGGCTTCGATACACTTGATTCCAGGCTTGACGTAATCACGGATGGTACGACTTTCATTCTTTGCCACTTCCGTTTGCCAGCTTGAAATTTCTCGAACACATTAACCAAAATGCCCGCAGTTTTCTCCTCTTTGTTGGAATTTGTCGCGTGTAAATGACTTTGTATATGGGAACCGCGTCGTGGAGATCGACGAAGGCAGGAGACAATTAGTGTAATGGATAAATTCCGGCATGAAAACTTCGTGCAAGACGAATTTTCAACGTGGATGCCACAATTAAATGGATCGAACCTGCTGCACCGCTGCCAACGGTGATATTCACTTTATCACGGGTGCATTAGGCCTATCACTTAAGAACGCGAGCAAGAGATGATAGGAAACAGCCGAACGATCTTCTTGACAGCAACAAGTCTGTCAAAATCGATGACATTCTCTCGTTCAAGGAGGCAAATTGAGTCCTTCAAGCCATAAAGTGTGTCAAGCCCTGATGAATCTCTCGACGGGCTTCCCAACTACATGGAGAAGGTGCTTACAGCTGGTGAGGATCTGTTATACTGGCGCGAAGGAAGGTGCCTGCACCTCATTCTTTCCGTGCAGGCATATGAGAATTCTCGAAAAGCAAACGGTTGTGCACGAATACGTAATTTTTACTACTGCCCTTTATAGCTTTATTGGCGGCGAAGGCCTCGTGGACGTTGGAGGATTGATCAAACTGTACCGCAACCCTACAAGTATGTCTTTCTCAAGTAATCGATGAGATTGAACTCCGTCCATATTATCGATGGGAATTATGCACCCACCCGAGAAAGCTTGCCAAATGTTGTTGGTATGATTTACACTATGCTATCTAAAGACAACTCATTTGCGGCTTTGGTTGACTTGATCTGTAGGTGTCAGGAGAGTTTGCAACTAGCTAATTGCAAAAACAGATATTCATACTTAACTGCCCCGCAGTTTTTTAAGCCTTCATGTTCATTTAGATCAGAACACTGTGGCACAGGTCGTTAGAGCTACAGGCACTCCTGACAGGTTTTGCGGAAATGAACAGTGAAATTACGATGGAGGGGTTTCTTGGTTCACTTCGATACTCTTCTGTAGAGCCAGCTGACGATTAGTAGTAGTCCTCTCACGTGACTTTGCTGCAACATAAGACAGTGAACAGCCAAAACTTACGCGCTCTGACACCAGACTCAAACCTTGATGTAGAATCCTGTTAGTCACTCCGGAAATGGATATCCGCCGAGGGAGTAAAAATTCGCTAATAACGAGGAATAGAGGCACCTATTCTTCGGTGTGCCTGGAAACAGTCTATCGCTTTGTCTCGATGACATGCATATTTTGGAAACGAAACGCTTAGATAGAACCAGATCTATTGATTTGTAAATCGTTGGCGATGCTCTTGACAACTGTATCGAAGTGAAAAAAAAGCTGACTAAATGGCTATTGCCCATTGCAGATAGTTCTCAATCTTTTTTAGACCTCTAAAATAGACTTGAACTACAACTAAATCCGAATTTTCATGAGACATGCAATCTTGGTGTGCGGTCGGATTTGGCAGTCGTTTTTGCCCTTCTGGAAGGGCAATTCTGCGTTTCAAACTCACGGCAAGCATTTATGTAGGAGATACCAGTTTATCACTCAAATCATCAAGCTCGACAAGTGTATTTTATAAATCAGATTTAAGTCGTAAATGAGACCTGGCTAATTTAAACTCAAGTTTATAACCCAGATAATATACAGACCTGGGCCAAAATCTCTGCAATGAACAACAAATCATAATATATCTCAGATAATTTAGCTTTAAACGTTCGTATTGCCATCCTTGCATCGACAGATAGCTAAGTACATGGAGACACTCTCCTTACTGTAAAGATTATCCGTGCTCTTCCAATCACGGTAGTCGTCCAATCCAGAGCCAGGGAAGAAATCATCATATTGAAGCTCTCTCACTTCGTAAGTAGCGACCTCCTGATGCTGCAGCGCGCCATTACTACGTCCCTTAAGCCCGTCGGAAAGAGATTCATGTCGTCACAAGTGCCTCCCTTCCACCTCGCTGTGCCAGTTCACGACCTGGCGGAAGGTACGACTAGCAAGACCAAGACTTCTTTCAGCGGTACAACTCATGCGTTAATAACCTCCCCGTGATTTCTGCAGCCAAGGATTTCTATGGCACCAAACTAGGCTTCATCGAGGGACGCTCGTCCAAGCAGTGGCAGGTTCGTCTTCAGTCTGATTCTATCAAGTTCGTCGTACTGACCTCCGTTCCCCCGGAATGCTATGAAACGCTAAGGACTACAACATGTTCGGCCACCAGCTCGTTGTGCACCAAGCGACGAAGGACTACCGTGGCGTGGACTTCTTCAACCCCGTCGGTGCGTATTCAAAGTTATATTAGTTATCGTTCAGAACAGTCTAACGTCTAGACTATTCCTACAGATGCGGACGATGTGCCGGTCCCGCACTTTGGTGTGGCTCTGACAGTCGACGAGTTCCACGCCCTCTCGAAGCGTGTGCAGGGCCTCAACATCAAGTTTATCGTGGAGCCTCACCTCCGCTTCGCAGGCCGTAAGGGTGAGCAGTGGACCATGTTTTTCAAGGACCCAAGCGGCAACAACCTCGAGTTCAAGGCCATGACCAACCCAGAGAACCTGTTCGCCAAGTACGTCGAGGAGTGACTCACATGGCTCCGCAGTCTAAAAGGGTGTGCGTTTACCACCAAAACCTCATCGCTCGTAAAAGCAAAATAAAATACGAGATCTATATGGAATGGAGTGCTGATTTAGCGATATCACTAGACGTCGCCACCGTAAATAGCATCAGACTCGACTGTAGTGTTGTGAAGTACCTATAGCTAACCTGATCACTAATTAAGTTTCCACGACCAAATAGAAAACTCCAGCCACGACAGCATAATGCGCAGGTTTTACCTCACTCTCCCTGCCGGATGAGCTCACTGCATTAGCTCCAAATGCCTCACATTCTTCTCCATCAGTAAGACCCGCTTTGTTCATAATGTCTCCAACAAACTCGCGGAAAAAGTCAACACTCGTAACTCTAGGAAAATATTTTTAGCGACTTTTTTGCCTGAGGGTTCGTCATTGCTTTCAAAAGAGGGTTCAGAGGCTTTTTTAACCTGGGGTGGTTTCCCAATACGGGTAAGTTCCGTATTGACTCTAAGCGCCTTTTGTAGATCTCGTGCCACGCCGTCGCTGACAAAGCCACTGTTGCCAGGAGCAAATACTACGCGTAATAATGGTAGTGCACTTGCGTACGTCGACGAAAAAGCATCAACACACGCGAATCTTGGTCTCACTACTGCAAGGTGTTTGTATTGACCTCCAATACTATGGTCAAATTAGTGTGGCAAGTATATTCAGTAATGTACGAAACATACTTTCCGCGTGGCGTCCGAAATACGTTACTCTGGGTGCGGCACAGTGCTCCATGATAGTATCATAGCGGACATATTTTTTCCGCTTGGTACACTTGATGTGGCACGAACTTGGGTGCTTCGCTTTAGGCTGGGAGGACTGTCAAAAATAGCGTAGAAGTATTTTGCTCAGTTAACTAACTTTACCTTTTAAGAGCATTCGAGCATGCGCATGGTGCTTCGCGTACATCGTTTTGTTCTAAACGAGGCGAGCCAATCTAAACTAACACTACTTCGACATTTTGTTTTCTGTCCAACAGACGGTGTTAACTAAAACTGACAAAATTCTTGAACGCTCAACTACGACTCTGCGTAGGCTTTATCATAATAAAGTGAAAGCGTGAGAGCTGCTTCTTCGGCAGGTAGACCTGCCGAAGAATAGCAGCCTCCCGCCACAACTGAAGTAAAAAGAAACTGATGGTACTCATTAAGTTGGGTTGCACTGAATCCTCGAAACATTTTAGATTAACGCTAAATAGACGGCGCCTATGCTGTAATTGTGAGAAAGGAGGGAAAATCGAGACTGATATTCTTTTGGTTTAGCCAAGCACAGCAGTGCATCTACGTTGCAGTTCCACTCTGTGCCCTCGCGACATCACTCAGGGCACGGGGCGATTGCTGACACTTCCCCGCGACGCGTTGTCCTGAGTGAGGGGAAATAATCCGATCGCTGTGAAGTGCTCTTCAAACCGAGTCCGCCCTAGGGCCTTCGTAAATCCGTCTACTAGCATACTTGAGGTGGGGCAGTATTGAAGAACAACTTCTTTGCCACGAGCCGCGTCCTTGATCGAGTGGTA